CCATGTTTGGGGTATATAACCAACAGTTTACACCCAAACCCCCAGGGCCTGGAATATGCCAGGTGCCCAAAAGATGTCAGATAAATGAATAAAGGGCACACTCAGGAAAATGCAGAGCAGGGCAGACCCCAGAGTCACCCCAGTCTGGGCACAGCACCTAAATGGAATCAGAGTGGCCTTGGGGTGACTGAGCCCCAGAAGACCCTAAAGGCAGGCAGAAAGAGATGACATTCCAATGGGGAAGGCAGACATTCAGATGGCTTTCCTTCAGGTGTCGCCTCCTCCAGGAAGACCTTCCCCTAATCCCATAGCCCCAGAGCTCCCGCCTTTCCTGTCCGGGGAGAGAGAGTGAAAGGAGAAGAGATGGTAGCAGGAGAAAGGTAAAGACAGGAGGCCCTAGTCCCTTCCGGCTCTAGATTCTCCCCAGGCAACTTCTCCACTTTTCCTGCCCACTGGACACACCCATCCCCTCTTCCTTACCTCACTGATGGATAAGGCCACTTGCTGCTTCCAGCCCAGCCCACCCTGGCCCCCAGCACACTTGCAGGCTGTCACAGAGGAGCCTTGACCAGTTGCTTACTTACAGTTGCTTTCAGCCCAATAGGAGCCCTGAGTAAAGCTGTGGGTCTGCAGCTTTGGAGCCAACAGGCCAGGTGCCCTTTCTCCAGGGCAACTATATGTTGACAGCCTCGGAGTTTGCAGGGCTGTTGGATGAACTATTATCACTTTGAGAGGCTTGGCTTAGGCCTCTTGCTCACCCAGGAGACTGTAAAAGGGATTCCTCAAGACGGGGTGGGGGGAAGGCAGATGGGGTAATATAAGGCAGGAAAGCCCAGCTTAACTTTACATTGTGACTTAGTACAGAAGGAAGACAGCCATAGAGAGAGGGGAATGTCATTGGTGGGGTCATCCATGCAGCCATTGCGGTGGCTGTAAGCAAAGTGACAAGGCCATTGCCCTCCCAAGGACCGAGAATGTCCAGATCCAGGGAAAGGTGGCTGCCAGGCTCTGGCAGCATTTCTACCCACTGTCCAGGGACAGCAGATCTGACCCATGTAGGCCTGCACCCACACACTTCCTCACCAGGAGCTCTGCAGGGCGTCTGAGTGGCCCAGTAGGAACGGCAATTTCCTATTCGGGACTCAGCACTTGCAGACGGTCCATCTACGTTAGGAGGCCTGGTTCTCCCCCTTACTCCAGTGTGTCTTTGTCCTTTACCTCTCTGAGCCTCTGTTTGCCAATCTGTAAAATGGAGACAAATATAGCCTCTCTAAAGAGCTGTTATAAGGGTTTAAATCAGGTAATGTGGGTAAAGCCCCTGACTCAGGGCTTGGCACAGAGCAGGGTCAATATACTTCCCTCACTCCAAAGCACCAGGATGCCTGATTATTGAACTAATACTAAAAAGAGCCATTGACTTGGTCAAGCATGGACCAACTTAATGATTAAACCCAACTGGCAGTTTGAATTCATCCTCCCTTCCAACCAGAACTACAGGTGAGTCCCAGGGGTGCACTGAGGGAAGCACTGAAATGTGCTGTTGAGAGAAGGGGAAGAGTTCCCCTCCCTGAACCCCACCACCTGCCCTGGAATTCTTCCCCCTTGCCACCTGTTTACACTTTTTTTTTTCCCCTTACAAAACCCAGACCAAAGCTAATGCAGTCCAGAGAACAGCACAGACCTTCTTCTAAGCCTAGCTTTGCCACTACCTGTGAGACTTGGAGCAAGAGTCTTAATCTCTGTGCCTCAGTCTCCTCACCTATAAAATGGAGGAGAACTACATCTTACTGTGCAGGACTGAGCTGCACCTAGAAAGGGAATGGTAGTGCACACAGTAGGAACTTAGCAAATATGGGGTCCTGCACTGACTCCCCAACACTTCTGTTTATAGGGCATTCATCTAAATGGGCTGGCGCCTTCATGAGACTGCCAAGGGGCTTCCCCACAGCTGACCTCCCTTCCTCTGGCACTTCCTTATTACACACAGTAACATGCCAAATTTCTCTGGGGCAAACCTGATAAATGTTATCTGAACCAGGGTTTGGGAAGATACTGCATGTTTGAGGAAGAATGCAGGACTTTGGAGCTCAGTCAACGTGGATTCCAATCCTAGTTCAGCCAGCTGGATGAGCCATGAGGCTGGGGCAAGTCTTTATCTGAGCCTTGGTTTTCTAATCTGTAAAATGGAGATAATAGTCTCTGTCTGCAGGGTTGTTGCGAGAATTAAGTTCATTCATTCATTCATAAAATATTTACTGAACATCTGCTAGGTACCAGCCACTGCTCCAGGTGCTGAATATACAGCAGTGAATGCAACAGATGAAATCCTCCCTGGGGAGACATAATAAACAGCTAACTACACATACAGCACAGCACATGGTGATCCATGCTAAGGAGAGACACAAAGCAGGGTAAAGGGAGTGGGGAGTACTGGGGGCAGGTGCAATGGTAGGACCCACACTGGAGCAGAGACCTGAAGGAAGGGAGGGGAAATCACTTGGAGGTCTGGCAGGAGAATGTTCCAGGCAGAGGGATCAGCAAGTGCAAGAGCCTTAAGAAGCATCATGCTTGGCATGTAAATGAAGCCACATATGCAGGAAGCCTGGCAGGAAAGCCAGGTGCTTGCAAATGCCAGCTCTGTATTTCAAGTCCTTTGGAAGGAACCCCACGCATGTGTCCTTTTCCCGAGAATGAAAGCACAAGGGTTTCTACAGGACAAGACTGAGCCAAGTGTTCTGTCAGCTTAAGATACAGGCAACATGTGAGCTCTACCACCCGGTTCTTAGCTCCTGCCGGGCACCAGACTCTGGCTGGGCAACCAGGGATACAAAATGATCAAGATAAGGTGTCTGTCCTGACAGCTCCAAGGTGAGTGTGGAGATGGGTGATGACCATGCAATGTGGTCAAATGAACAAGCAGAGACTTAAGGTATCTATGTAGCAGAGTGAAGGAAGGGATTGGGTGTGGGTGGTCAGAGAAAGCTTCCTGGAGGAGGTGACAACTAAGCTGGAATTGAAAGATGGACTAGACAAGAAAAGATATTCCAGGTGTGGGAAGCATTACATACCGAGCAAAGAGCTGTTTAAAAATGGCACAGTATCTGTGAGAAACTAATTACAGGCAGGTCAGAAAACAATAAACAGTTCTTCATATTCTTGGCAACAACCTGATGTAGCTCAAGAATTCCAGTCCTGTCACCTACCTCAAAGTCAGTGCAAGCTTCAGCCCAGTGGGGAGTTTGAATTTCCCACACTTAGCTTCTTCAATGGATAACAGACCTTAACCCAGGCCTCTCAGCCCAGGATGGCCCAATCCAGAGTGAGGGTCAGGAGGATGGAGACTACAGAAATCTCTAGCTATATTTAGCCCACCTGGCATGTGTCTGCCCTTTCAGCCACCCCAAGGCTAACCCACAGGTGGTAAAATGACTTTTTACTAGAACAGTATAAACATTTCTTATTTAAGAAATCCTACAAAGGGGCCTGTTCCTCGGCTCATCTTTGTGGCTGGCAGAATATGTGCTGCCATATTTGCGAACATCCCTGGACACCTCCTGACTGGGCTCTCCCCATCTGGGCAAGAGCCCTGGTCACAGGAGGTGGAGGCCACCCTTCAGTGAGCAGACCTGGGTTTGAATCCCACCTCTGCCTCTGATGAGCTGGTGACTCTCTGCTTGTGACTTCACTGTTTTCAGAATGTGGCGGTTTGAGAGCAGCGGTTCTAAAGCTGCCCCAATGCTTAGAAAGTAGGAGTGGGCTCCTCTTTTATAAGCTGGCCTGGGGAATCCCTGGCTTAGCATCATCCATTTCAATCCCCTCCAGGGGGAAGAGATTCTTTTTTATATAAGGCCTAGAAGGGAGGGCTGTATGAGAGTGTGTCAGAGCAGAGACTGGGTCATACGTCCTGCTCTACCTGGCTTCACACTAAATTTGCCCCACAGCTGACTTGCTTCCCTACTGAGCTGGGTCTTTGTACTTTAAAAATAAACACATCTCTCACCTTCTGACTAAAGGATGCTACCAATGCCCAGCCTTAAACCAAAATAGATTTATTCTAAAGATTTGGTGGATGGGGGTAGGGAGGGCAAGCAGACTTCCATCCTGATATCCAGACTCACCTCCCACTAGCGGTGTGACCTTGGATGAGTAATTTCCCTTCCTCTAAGCCTCAATTTATCCATTTGTAAAACTGAGATACATCTCTTTATACTGCAAAGCTTCTTTGCATTGCACTGGGGTATGCAATGTGCCTGACACAGAGCCTCCATGCACTGATCTATCTGTTCCCATAATTACCAGGTATTTTCTAGTGAGACCTCTACCCACTCCCACCCTCCACTCTCCCATCCCCTTACTCTGGCCAAGAAAATTCTGGGGTTGTGCTAACTAGGGGGTGATGCACTCGTTCTGCAGCAGACTCCCAGGGGCTAGAGAGCCCCCAGTAGTGCAGATACCAGAGGGGGGCGCAGCCGGGGTGCGCGTGGGAACATGGCCAAACCAAGGCAGCATGTGCTGCGGGGGCGCTGAGAGGCTGGAAACTGGGGTATCCCAGCGAGCACCACCCCCACCCTCCACCCCGCACTCTCAGCAGCTGCAGTCTCGGCACAACCGGCGGCCTCTGACCGTCGGAAGCCTTGGGGAACCTCGCTCCAGTCACCCCCCGAGGCGCCCGGGGCTCCCTCATCACAGCCCTCCGGCTGGAACAAAGGCGAGGGGGCGCGCAGCAGCCCCCCAGCGGCCCCTTTGCGCATCTCGCCAAGCCGGGAGAACGGAGACTGGGGTCCCCAGGGTAACCAGGACGCGGTACCCGCCCTCCTAGAGCTCAGAGCCCAGACGCGGGGCGGGCGCGAAGACGGGGTCAGTGAGACACCAAAGACTCCAGCCCGCCGCGCGCCAAGGTCTCCAAGGAGGGCTGGGTGGCTCTCCGGAAGTCACCCAGTGGGTTTCCCGGAGGGAGGAGAACCCCAGCGTCCGCCGCCCGGCAGGGCTCCCCGGCGTACCTGGCAGGGTCCTGTGCACGGTGTTGCCCATCGCTGCGTCGGGGTGCGGCGTTGGTGACCGGGCGCTCGGGGTGCCCAGAGGCTAATTACCCCCTGGGCCGGGGACCCGGGCCAGGGTCAGGCTCCGGGGCATCGCGGCTGCACGGGCGAGCTGGCGGGCGGCAGCTGCGGCGGGCGCCGGCAGGGAGGCGGTGGTGGCGGGAGGAGGAGGCGGAGCCACCAGCCCGGCCCGCCGGCTCCGCCCCCGCCTCCCGAGGCCTCCAACCGCGCAGGGAGGGGAGGGGCCGTGGCCGCCGCATCTTTTGAAAGTTTGCACCGGGAGGCGGGAGGGGACTGCAGAGCCTCCCGCCTTTGCAGTTCCCGCGCCCGGGGCAGGAAGGCGCGCCCGGCAGCTGGGAGCCCTCGGAGTGCCAAGCTCGTCATCCTGCTGGCCTTTTTTATTCCTATATTCCAATACTTTCAGAAGGCCACTGTGTGCCAGGCCCTATTCCAGGTTCTGGACAGCAGGAGGACAATACCTCGCCCCGGCGGAGCACGTCTCCGGGGTGTGGGTTGGGGACGTTACACACAGGCAGATTAAGTCGGACGGTGTAAAGGGCGTGAAGACAATCTAATGAGGGTGACCGTAGTGGGAGTGGGATCACGTACCCACAAGTCGGAGAAACCGAGGCGGTGTCCAAAGTCTGGGAGGAGGAAACCCATTAAAATATTTTATTAAGCGTATCCTATGTGCCAGGTGTGGTGCTGGCACTGTAGACACAAATAAGGCAGGCTGGTGGAGAAGACAGAAATAAGGAGTTGGGATCACATAGTATAATGATGACAGGAAGAAAATGAAACAAGATAGGAGTAGTGGAATAACTATGGGGGCTCAAGGAGAACCTGGATTGGGGGGAGTGTCATCAAGGAATGGACAGCAAGGAAATCAGCAATAGGAACAGCTGAGGAGCGTGTCAGTGGCAGAGGGAGTAACTGCACTCCTGATTCATTCATTCATTGATTCACCCCAAAGGCATTTTATGAGAACTCTCTTGCCCAGGAACCCAGACCACACCCAACGAGAAGGGAAGCCTGTCATGTCTGCCTCACTGAGCTCCATTTTGCAGACTGAAACACTGAGGCTCAGAAGGTGCAGTAACTTGCCCAAGAAGACTAGTTTTTTTTCCGACTTTCCATGCTCCTATAACCTTTAAGACCTTATGAAATATGTGTTATTACCCCCACTTCACAGATAGGGAAATTGAGGTTCAGAGAATGGAAAAGAGGTGCCCAAGATCTCCCAGCCAAGCTAGCCTGGAGTTATGTGAATGAAAGAGGGTTATCCAGGAGAAACGCCCCCACCCCCACCCTGCCAACTCAGTTTCGTCAGTGCCTTCTGCCTAGAGTGCCTGACTCATCTCAGAGGGTTCTCATTCTTCAATGTCAGTTCAAAGCCTTCACCTCTGGGAAGACTTCTCTATAACCAATTTATCATATATGTCTGAATATAAGGTGGTCTTGCAAGAGTTACTAATTTCTCATATTTCAAGTGCTCTCTCAGTCACTTAATTTGTAAACACAAAATTCTGTTTGGGAAAGGTACAATAGTTCAATACACCCTCAATCCATGTGACGTTGGGATGCATATCAAGATCAACATTATCATAAAAGGAGCTGAGGAAATTTTACTCTTATAAAGCAATGCATTGCAAATGGGACTTTGTAACTGCAAGAGTCACATAGGGAAGGTCACAAAGGGTGACTGCAAGGGAGGTTGTCGTAAACAGGCCTTTTAAAGGTCACTTTCAGAGCATCCAGGTGTGGCTGTGCTGAACCATCGCAAATGCACACCTGCAGCAAATGAACTACCTACTGTTGTGCAGATGGAGGGGACGGTCCAGTGGCCACCTGGCATATAGATCCAAAAGGGCTGTGTTTTAGCATCTTGGTCCTTGGTCATCTGGAAAATTGAAAAAGCCCCATCCTCCACCAGGTGATGGTGGCATGAGTGTCAAAGCCACACATAAAGAGTTTGAACCAAATTGTTTCTTGAAACTTGAGATCAGACAAAAGCAGTATTTCCAAATTAATATTTTGTATAAAAATGCTTTAAAATATGTCTAACTAAAGAAACAAGTATTACAAGTAGATGTGTGACTATTTTATCTCTATCCCTTAAGCTCAATTTATATCATTCAACTCTATTGTGCATCTTTTTATTGAGAGAATAGGTTTATACCCTTACCCCTTATTTGGGCTGCCTTATATTTGTACATATATGGTAATTGCTCACCCCTCTGAGGTCTACTGCATGTTGTTCTGGCCTCAATTATACCCTCAGGGCAGATGCCATAGCTTCATCCTTCCATCCTCTCCTGGCAAATGGGAAACCTCCTGTGGGCAGGACCCAGTGGTATACATTTCTAAATCTCCCGTGCCCAGAACAGGACTGGCACACACGTTTTCAGTACACATTGACTGAAGAAATGTATTTCTCTGAACTTGGAGAAGAATGGAAAGAAGGAGGGAAGGAGGGGAGGGAGGAAGGAAGGGGTAGGAAAGAGTTGTGAAGGAATGAGTCTTAGTTGATAGTTGCCCTGTACTCTGGTGTGACCAATAGTGAAATGTGCAGGAGAAACAAAATAGGGATGCATTAACGGAAAAGTGTCCAGAACAAAGGAAGGGCTTGGGCTCCAGTGCATGCTGAGTAGACCATTCTGGGAGAAGGTGGTTTGGCTCTGGGCATCACACTTGAATAGCAAGACAAAGATGCTCCGCAAAAGTGGGGAAGGTGGCTTTGGGAGGGAGGGAGATCTGTGTCACAGGAGGTGTGCAAACAGAAGCAGGGGATAGGGAAGCATTCTGGGGTCTGGGCAACAGCCTCTAGTCATAACCTCTTCTGGCTTTGACTTCCATGCACCTCCCACCCTTAACCACATCTAGAACCCTGCAGCTCTGGCACCCTCCCTTGGCACCAGGATCAGGTTATAGGGGCCCCTGGGTGGGGCTGATTCTCTTGCTTGTACAGTGTTGGCACAGCCTCCCCGGACAGTGCGTACAGGGAGAGCCCTGGCAGGGCTCCTTGGTGCTGCTCCCTGGGGGCATGCCCTGGCAGGCCCTGCCCCACACAGTAGCAGGCAGGTGCACCCTGTGAAAAGAGCACACACTCAACTCAGGGGTATGCCCACTGCAGACACCTAGGTGAAAAGACTCCTTCCTTCAGGGGAACCTGGTTTGCCCAGACTCCTCCCTGCAGCTCAAGAACCAAGAATCCAGGCTGCAGTCATACCAGAAACCCTGGTTTTAAAATTGCTGTAGAAGGCTCTACTTTTCAGCAAATGCTGCCTATCAAACACTCAATTTCCAGGCACAGCAGGACTTCACCCACAAAAGCAACATTTTCAGCTCTTGATTATAAAATGCCTACCAGGTTGCAGGCTCCAGGCTGCACCCTTAGACTGATCCTCCTCACAATCTAGCAGCATAGCCAGTACCACAATTCTGGGCCTGCAGGAGAGGAAACTGCAGCACAGAGAGAGGAAGGAACTGCCGAGTGCACATAGCCAGAGGGAGGCAGAACTCAGGAGGGTCTCAGTTCTCTCCAGAGATGAGGAAACAGGCTCACAGCAGTGAAGCCACTTGGTGAGCAGATCACATTTGTGTGTAACTGAATCTGGCTGCACTTTACCTGGCAGCCAAGGCAAAAAGGGAAAGAGGCTCATCCCATGGCTTTTCTTGTCCTCTCCCCCTGCACATGCAATTTGGTGCTGCAGCCAGTTGCAAAGCGGAGTGTGTCACTGGTGCACAGGATAGCTGAGTGGACAGAATCTTCCTCCTGAGTTTGCCCCAACACACATCAACAGTGTTCTGTTGGGTGGGTCTCCTGCTGGCCTTCTGAAAAGGCCAAGGGCCAACAGTTTCCTGAAACCCAATAAAGCATCTCTGTAGAAAGATAACTGCCCTCTTCTCTCCGCCATCTCTCTCCAACAATTTCTGTCTCCTGCTTGCTTCACCACCACTGGACCCTTAACTGGGTGGAAAGCTCAGAAAGGCTCTTTAAAATTCCATCCCAGCACCATCTCTGGAGCACCTGTTCTGTACCAGGCCTCGTGCCAGGCCTGGGGCCCCGGGATGAGCGGCCATTATTGCTGAGCCACCAGCAGGGACTGCCTGTCACACCCCAACTAGTTCAAGAGAATCCATCAGGCAAGACAAGGTGGAAAGTACTAGGGTCCTGGGCTAGTGGGGGGGTGTGATTGGGAGACAACCTGCTTCTTTCCCCAGTTTCCAGAGCTCGCACTATTGGATGATCTGTGGAAACCCAACACTGGGAGCACCTTCCAGTTTCACAGAGCCATTTCCCCTTTGTGTCCTCTTTGCTCATTTCACTAACAAAGAAACTAGAGCTCAGAGATGTGAAGGATTTGCCTGTGGTCACACAGCTGGATGTGGTAGACTTGGGCCTGTTATGGAGACAAACAGCTGGGTCCTCTATCTCACTGTCCCCCACCAGCAGAAGGAAGAGACTCGGGCCAAAGGGAAGGAGCCCATGAGGAGAGGCATGAGTGTCTAAAAGAGCCAATGTGTCCTCTACCCTTCTGGTTAAGAGCAGGAGCCTTGAGGCAGACTGCCCGAGTTGGAATCGCAGCTTGGGCACTCGCTGGCTGTGACATTGGACTAGTCATGTGATCTCTCTGTGCCTCAGTTTCTACATCTGTAAAATGAGGCCAACAATAGAAACTCCCTGATAGGGTTGTGAGGATTAAATGAGTTAATAGGTCTGAAGCATTTACACAGGGTCAGGCAACATTTGATTCTCAAGAAACACATGCCCCATGAACAGCCATGACTGCAGGTTCAAACTTCAGCTTTTAAATTCCTCCTAAGCTTCTGTTCGCACTCTTTGAGGCTGGAATCCATTTCTCAGGACCTATCGTGTATTCCCAGATAGGTAGGGACTAAGCTAATAAATCCACAGAGATGTCCACTGTGTACCCCCGTTTGAAGTGAGAAACATCTCCTCCCATAGGACAATGTTTAGTAAACAGGTGTCATTCAAAGGAACCTCCCAGAGTTCGAGGCTCTGATGTTTCCAAAGAGTTTCAGGTCACAGAGGTGAAGCCTTGTGTTTTAACATTAAGCGAGGAAGACCAAACACGGAAGTGTAAATTCAGTATGATACGATACCAAGCTTGCAGAAACAAAATAAGGAAACAC